GTCGGGCCATTGTCTGGGGGATTTGGATTAAGGAGCCGAGGGGGGGGGAAAAAAAGAACTTGGTCTCACGGGTCAGCGAGAAGCCGAGGCCGCCTGGCCAGCCTCCTGGCCCCCCCACGCCTTGTTTATCAGCAGAGCCCTCGCCAGCCCGGCCACAGCTCCAGCTGCTTCAGATGCCAGGAGGATCAGTGCAGCGCCTATCTTTGGCTCACGCAGAAGCGACAAGGGGCCGTTGTCTTTCCTGTTGGGCTTTGCAATTTGGGTCCCAGGGACACATGCAAGGCAGCTTTGCTGCTCCATGGCTCCTGGCCCCCCCACGCCTTGTTTATCAGCAGAGCCCTCGCCAGCCCGGCCACAGCTCCAGCTGCTTCAGATGCCAGGAGGATCAGTGCAGCGCCTATCTTTGGCTCACGCAGAAGCGACAAGGGGCCGTTGTCTTTCCTGTTGGGCTTTGCAATTTGGGTCCCAGGGACACATGCAAGGCAGCTTTGCTGCTCCATGGGTGGAGGCCGGCTCACCGTGGGACTTGTCCCTCTCCAGCTACACCTGTGAGCCCTGATGCCCCCAGCCAGTGCTGGTCTGTCCCTCCTTTTGCCCCAGCTGCAGCAGGCCTGGTCCTACCCTGCCAATCGGGGGGTCCTGCCCCTCTGCAGCTTGCACGGGTCTTGTCACCTGCAGCCCATTCTGTGTCTATTTGCAAATCAGGATGACAAAGGGGTCAGCACCCAAATGTCCCCTGAGCACTTCCACACTTCTGCCTTGGCCCTCAACCCACATGGCTCTCTGCAGGCAGCAGCAAGCCCTGGGTAAGGGTGAGGGGAGGTGGGGAGGGGAGCGGGCAGGGTGTGAGCCTCGGCAGCTGTTGCCCCTCCGCTTTCCTGAGGGCAAAGAGACCAGCTCAGCGTCCCCACGAGTCCGCCCAGCACCCAGCCCCCTCCCAGCACTAAAGCCTCGTCATGGGAGAGCGGCCACAAGCCGGACACAGGGAGGCCTCTGTCCAGTCTGGCTGAGAGGGGGGGATAAACCTGCTGCATGAACAGACCCCTGTGTCCTTTGGGCCATTGGTGTGCACTGGGGCCTATAAGCCCCAGTCACAGCGCAGCGTCCCCATGTGCTCGGTGCTGTACAAACACTGGGCCAAGAAATGGTCCCTGCCCCAAAGAGTCAGGTAAAGCTTAGTGGTTCAAAGGAGGGGTGGAGGGGCCAGCCGGTGTTATCCTTACCAGCATCTGCCCTGCTCCTGCCTCTCTGCCATCCTCACTTTAGTGACAGCAGCTGCTTGGGAAGAATAAGGAAAGTGCAGCCCCCAGAAGAGCTCACTGCTGGGCACCATCCAGAGCCAGCAGCGTGGACCCCAAAGAAACACGCAGGCCCAGAGCATGGGCAGGTGCCGGTCTCCTATGCAGAGTGGTGCCCTGGTCCCGCAGAGGTCCTGGAGCAGCGCAGAGGTGCCAGCATCTGGGCAGCTCTGCTGGTGCTTCCCCAGCCCGACCCGCAGCAGCCCGGGGCCCTCTCCCGCTGCCTGTGCATGCTTTTCTGTGGCTCAGTCTGAAGCCCAGAGCCTGTGTCATCAGCCCTGCCCACCCCCAGGCTGAGCCCCCGTGCACTCCTGATTGCGTTCAGAATAAGGACTGACTCAGAAGAAACACCAGGTTAAATTTAGCGCTGAGTAAGTCTGGGGGCTGAGGCCGGCGGCGCAGGCAGGGGCTGGCACAGCTGCCCGTCGCCTCCTGGCTCCAGCTGAGCGCGACATCAGCCTCTTATTTTTTTACTTTCCAACTGTCCTGTTCCCAACTCCTCACCTGCCCATTCCTCTTCCCCTGCACTCGGTGGGGGTGGCTCGTGCGTGCCTGCCTGGCTGGCACCTGTCAGACCCAGCTGCCTCCCCATGGCAGAGCTGGTCACTTCCTCCTGACAGTGCCCTGCCTCTGCTCTGCACAGATGCTCTCTGGGCTGGCTGGAGCCCTCCAGAGACCCCTGAACCTCCCCCCAGCACATCCCAAGGGAAAAGCCCAGGGGTGCGCTGGGCTCGTTCTGAAGCGCCTCAAGGCTGGAGTGGTTAAGTGACACCCAGAAGCATTTGGGGACAGGGACTGTGTTTTTGTCTTGTGTTTGTACAGCATCCTGACTGGCCCGTCTTGACCCCGTGTCATTGTAAATGGCAGCATTGATACTATGCAGGGACAAGCTGGATGCTACCTAACACCTGTCCAATGTGCTATACAGGGGCCATGGAGAGCAGGCAGCCCCTCCTGCATCCAGCTGTGTCCTGTCCTAGAGCTGGTGCAAACTCTGTGGACTCAAGCAAGCAACACAAACCCAGTGCTGGCAGCACGACAGCTGCATGGAGCCCCTCCGACAGCATGGGGCAGCAAGTGAGATCCTACCCCAGCTCAGTGCATTCCTGTGCCCAGGGCTATAACTCGAGGAGAGGAGCTCCCCTCCTGGCTGCAGGGCCTGGCCACAGCAGCAGGTGCTGCAGGTCTCAGCCAGAGGGACGGAGGGCAGAGAGAGCTGCTGGGAGAGCTGCTCCAGTCCCACCTCACGTACAGAGTGCTAGGGCACCCACTGCCCTGCACGGCGCACATGGGGAGCCTGCAGGCATGGCTGGTTTCAGGACATGGGGTTCTTGTTTGAGCACCAAACCGTTCGTCTTTTAAAAGTGGATCTAAGTCAAATGTGTACCCTGCTACTCCGGCGTGTCTGTCATAGGCATCCGACTCTGAGCCAGGCCGGAGTTCATACTCAGGCTTGGCCCTTAGCTCAGCGGCACGGCACGTTTGTAGTGGAGGAAGAGGGAGAGGCATTAACACTATTTGACGGGTACGTGCAGAACTTCACAGCTCCGGGTCGGGAATCCTCAGTCCTCGGTCACGACTCTGCTACCTGGTTATCTTTTCTCCCTTGTGTTTGGAACGTAAAGGGGCCAAATATCCAAGGGGCCTTGTGAGACCCACCAAGGGCCCGGTGCCCTGCACCACTCTGGCTCCAGCTCCTGGAGCTGGGGTGGAGGCTGGAACATCTGTTGCAACCCTGCCTTGCTGCTTGTTTGCAGCTTGGAGACACTTTGAGGCCATCAGAACAAGGCAGCAATTTTGGCTTCCAGCTGTGGCTAGAGAGGTGTTTAACCCTTAGGGTACTGAACACAACCCCCCCACCCCCACCAGCCTTTGCTGCTTGACCCTCCGAGCCCCCGTCTCTGGGAAGTGTAGGTAGGGGCGTTGTTGTAATTTGGGTGACAGAAGCGCCACAGCAGATAGAAAGGAAAGGCTGTACGATGCATCTTTGGCACTGGGGTGGGATCTGGATGAGGCTACCCCA